AAATCAGACTGCTCTCATGACCAACTGTAGTTTCTATAAGTATAACTGATATTACTATGATTTCCAACATTTTAAATTTCCAGAGAGATCTATGTACGTCGACATACGTCGCGTAAAATACTTATCAAATACAAAAATAATGAAACTAATTCATTTTACACTTGTACAGAAATATGTACAATGTGTGGACTTATCTAAATATTTCCTAAAATTCTCTAAAATTATACTCTATAGAAAATATGTGTGTACAAGCGCTTCCTCAATACAGAACATAATTGACAGTAAATAAATAAACATAATGTTGTGAATTTCATGAAACTCCATACATAAGGCGTAAATCATTACTGTATACACAGTCACGCTGGATACGCCCATACATATGTATAATGGAAATTTTCTACGTATTCATATTGCATAATATATTATGCAATATGAAATTGCAATTTCTATACAAATATATCTCAAAAACCTATACACAATTCTTATTGAATGTGGGCCTCTTCACACACGACCTACCCAAATTGTTGTGAGATAATTATGCGGCTGCAAATAGAATGACACTTGTTAGCAGGAGACATGTAACTTGTACCTTAGTGCAGTGAAACTTCTAACAATACAAGAAGTAGTTTAGCCTCATTAATTTCCATTATATTCTCAAATGTCAGGGATGTTTTGAAGTGAAAAATATTTACATTTTCCTTGACATTTTAGAATATAATGCAGATTAATGCAGAACCTGTTTATTAAGGAAATTTGAAACAAATTCCTTAAATTCTTTAAAATTTTCCAGGATTCATACATCTTGAGATAGGTTTTGAGATATTTTGACATATGAGAATATAATGGAAATTAATGAGGCTAAACTACTTCTTGTATTGTTAGAAGTTTCACTGCACTAAAGTACAAGTTACATGTCTCCTGTTAACAAGTGTCATTCTATTTGCAGCCGCATAATTATCTCACAACAATTTGGGTAGGTCGTGTGTGAAGTGGCCCACATTCAATAAGAATTGTGTATAGGTTTTTGAGATTTTAATTTTTCCCTTCATTTTCATCAGCTTCATGAGATGTATGTATCAGTCATCTAACTAATTGTTCGCTATAGAGAGGGATGTAAAGTATAAAGTGCACTTTATAGTCTTCATGAAGACAAAAGGAGCAATAATAATCATGCAGTTATCGATTCATGCCAAATTAGAAGAAAGGTTTTAATATGCAAATTGTTTTTGACGCAGCTATGAAATTAATTATGGTGTGGGTAAGCAATAACTTTGTGCAAACTTTGAATGCAAATCATTGAAATAGTTCTGAAACAATTGGGAAGAGCTGCCCTTCACATATAGATTTACAATTAATGCATATGTAATTTACCTCACGGGTGTAAAATTTCAAGCTTTTAGGAGCAATTTGCAAGGTCTATGAATTGTGTCTTTCAAATTTACATACTAGTATTCTGGAAATATTTTCCAATATCGTGGCTGATAGGACCATAATGAGTCAAAACATTCTTTAAAAAATTAATTCATACATTGCACAGACATATTTTAACAATTTCAATTTTAACCGTTTCCGTTTCGTTTCCGTTTCGTTTCCGTTTCGTTTCCATATTTGATCCGAAACGAAACGGAAACGCAACGGTACATGGCGTTTCCAAAATTTAGGAAACGAAACACGTTTCCATTTCGTTTCCGTTTCTAATCCGAAACTGGCACTAATTCGCGTTATTTTAAAAGTTGTGGAGTTTTAGAGGTTTGGATCCCAATTTTGCAACATAAATCTGGTTCTTCATTGGTTTTTAAACGGTTCGGAAAATGGATCGGAACCACCCTTACCTTCCACCTCTGCCTTATCTAAGGGTTTTCTTGTGGACAGGTTTACAAATATGAGCAATATATAGGTTTTTGAAAAACAGACATGTTTTTTTGCGAATAAATTATTTAAACGGGAGCATAAATTTGGTTGTTTAAGCTCCAAATCTGCAAGATTTCTCACCCCGTCCGTCTGAACGTCTGAACATAAATTTGAGGAACTGAAACTGACTGAAACTGAAACTGAAACTTACTGAACATAATTTGGATTGGAATTAAGGAGAAGGGGACAAATGTCCCGATATTGGACGAGCATGGGTTTAATGATGAAATTTCGCCCTACAATTTCTGCTAAGGGGAGGTGATGACAAATTATAATTGTTTATGACACGCTTTTAGATAATTAATAGTGTTCGGTAAAATTTTAGCTCTTTCAATAGTGAGAACCTGTTTTCCGAACAAGATGATTATCATGTGATAGAGGTTTACTTGAGGACAAGGGACGCAGACAAATCTATTTTGGATGTTTTACGTAAATAAATCTGGAAAATAATTGATTTATAATTATTAAAATCATCGAGTTCAAAAAGGGTTTACCATTTAGAATAGAATTTAGTTAGAATTTTAAATACTTATTTACATATGAAGGTTACAAATATGTGTTTGTACATATCTTGGATTTCCCCGTGTTCCCGTGGAGGTAGGGATTTCAACAATTAAAATTATTAAATAACAGTGACAATTTAAGCCATTGTTTACTCAAGCACACATCCAGGAGTGGCAATCCGATCCGAAGAAATCCGACCAGATCCGATCCGAAATCCGCGGACTAGGATCGGATCGGAATGTACTTCCTAATCCGATGGGATTGAATGACTAATCCGATCGTATCAATCCGAAGCTAGTCATCGGATCGGATTTCGGATTGGCGATTTTGATTTCACATTCCCCCAAAATATGCATACTAGTGCTGCCGCAGCACTAGTGTGCACACAATATTAATCACAAATTGTGATTCACAATATCAAAATAAATTCATCATTTTGAAAGTTGGTATTTTTGATCTTTTTCGCACAAGGGTTTGGCATGCATTTACATATACAAAAATATAGTGCGGAAAATAAATTTAGGTGTCTAGCTATGTATTTATTAAGGGGTGAAAACCCCTTTATGGGAATGTCTTGGCTGTCCGTCCGTCCGTCTGTCCGTCTGTCCGTATCCACGATAACTTTAGAACGGATGCGAATATCGAGATGCGGTTTCCGCCAAAGTATTTCTAATTTTTGAAGTATGGCTGAGTTCGAAGATGGGCATTGTAGGCATTAAGGTCACGGCGCCACGGTAATGACGCCGTGTCGAATATGTAGGAAAAAGTGAAAGGATGAGGGCTCACTTTAGTAATTCGAAGGGTCCAGATTAGGCGGCCTTAGTCAACGTTTCGACCTTCGAGGTCTTCTTCAGGACTTCTTCACATGGTAGCGATTCGTGTGGGAATGGGGAACAAAATTTGGAAAAGGGTGAAGAAAGGAAATGTATTGTGAAGATAGGAAGGAATAATAAACCGTCAAGCGCGTGACGGTTTATTATTCCTTCCTATCTTCACAATACATTTCCTTTCTTCACCCTTTTCCAAATTTTGTTCCCCATTCCCACACGAATCGCTACCATGTGAAGAAGTCCTGAAGAAGACCTCGAAGGTCGAAACGTTGACTAAGGCCGCCTAATCTGGACCCTTCGAATTACTAAAGTGAGCCCTCATCCTTTCACTTTTTCCTATTATATCCTCACTGCACACTTTACATATTATATTTACCGTGTCGAATATGTGTCGAATTTTTTGTTTCGACGGTTTTAGACGTATTTTGGGGCGGGGATTTCGAAAATCGACATGGTTTTGACGTACGATGACCGTGTGACCGTGTGGACGACGCCACTTGAATTATGCCATGTGGGGTGTCTATCGAAAGGTATAGTCGTGTACGTTCAAAGTACGCGGGTGTTATGTCGAAACGGGGCGAAATGAGACGTGGGGTAATGTGAGACAATTGGGGAAAATGACGGGAAAGTATTGGAAGACGATGTGGGTGTGCCACAAGGACATTTACGTGTGTTTTCACCCCTTTGCTACATTTCGTTTGCAACGGTTTATTATTTAATGGAAGGATTGTCGACTGGGGGACATCACAAAGGTGTAAAGGATAGAAAAAGTTATTTCGAGAAAAAATTGTCAGATTTGAAATATGGATAATTAATAATCGATCCCACGGTAAAAATTTTCGCGGTGAAAAGTAAAGTTAAAATTTTGAACGTGAACATTATTAAAAATTAACGAATGGTTTTTTTATATTTTAATCTAAAGAAATTAAAAAGTAAACAAAAGATAGAAATCATTTATCACTGGGTTTGAACGGTCCTGACCTTCCAATTCTTCTTTAGAAAGGATTTTCATGTATCAGATCTGAAAATGTTTGGCTGAATCGGATTGGGATGGGTTGAATTGAACATCCAAAAATGATGATCCAAATTATGTAGAGAATGAACAATTTTACCGTGTTTCAAAAATATAGCAAAAACATAAAATTCATAAAGCTTGAAAAACTTTGTAAATTTTTTCAAATATCTTTGGCATAATCGACACTGGTAAATTTCAATTTTTAACAAATCATGTCGACTGTACTGTCTATTAATTCGAAACATGAATATGATACATATGTTTAACACTCATATTATTATGCACATACTACAATTTCCTGTAATCGGATCCGATCCGATCCGAAATCCGACGGATCAATCCTAGTCGGATCGGATTGAGTGTTAGATCTGAATGGGATTGATTCAAACGCCTGCTTAATCCGAACCGGATCGATCCGAAGGCCTCATAATCCGATCCGATCCGACGGATTGCCGCTCCTACGCACATCCAGTATGGGGCAGATAGAGTGTTACAATCAGACAAAAAATTTAACATAAAAATTACAAAACTCCTTGGTTACATGTTTTTCAGGAAATTTTTTAACGAGAAATGAGCTAGTAAAGAGGAATATGAAATTTTCATGACAGAGTAGAATTTAAAAATTGTAGTAAATTTCTTCTCCAAAATGGATACATTTAGCGAAGGAGTTTGTAATTTTTTATATGATTTTTTTTCTGGTTGTAACACCGTACAAATTGGTAGTGTCGCACAGAAAGGGATTTGGGTCGAAATTTCCAACTTTATTGATAAATCAACAGTTCAGGATGGTCAAGATCGGAGTGGACAAATATGAATTTGATTGATTTTTTTTGCAGAAGTATGTCCAACTCTATTCCGAAAATGGGAGGATCTACGGCCCACACCGGAGACTGGGACGTATTGCCCAAGCGTCGCTGTGATAAGTGCATTTGCCGTTGCAACAATGGTCGGAATTAGAATAACATTGGACCCCGTTTGCGATACATCTCCCATTTTTAACACATTTACCATTGACACAAGTTGCATCCTTTTGACAACATGGTAACCCAGTAAACCGACCGGCACATGAACTCTTGGTAGCGGTACACTTTAAATAACAAAAGAGTAAATTGATTTAATATTTCGAAAATTTATGAGTGGTCTGTGAATTTTGTATTTTGCGATAAGTCGCCCTTTTCAGGGACTAATATAGTTCTAATATTAATTATTACTTAGTGGAATGAAAAATCTAGGATTAGACACTTTAATCTAAATAGACAGTCATTTTGATGTGATTTATGTGACTTTGTATTACTAATAGGCCTATTATAGGCGCCTATTATTATCCGCTTTCATATAATCTAATCTATAAATTTTTGAGATTGTGGTTGGTCAAAATAAGTAATCAAATTTCGGAAAAGAAGGTCCCGTCTCAAAATGTATCATATAGAGAGCCATTGTCGATTATTTCGACATTCACGACACTATGTGATCAGCCACTTAAACTTGATGCAAAATAATTGGGGTAGGCACTAATGTACCCACTCCCTAACTCGGGCTATATCAAGTCTTTACTGTAGGTTTTTAGAGTAAAAGCCCGGGGTTTTTAATTTTTTTAGAGTAAAATCCCGAGTTCCTGGTGACTGCTAAAATTGGAGTAAATGACATAAAGTACAGTTTAAAATTGAAGGTCTCAATTTAGATCGCAAAAATCACGTAAAATTACAAAACTGTGCCCAACACAGTGACCAGATTGGGGACAAATTTTAATGGAATTCTGTATTTACTTGATGAAATGCAAAAATAATTTATTTCGAAATAGGTTTTGTATTTACATACCAGACAAATAAATGGGGCACTCTGATCCTTGAATGGATTCGGGGCGCAAATCCCGTTTGCTGAGTCGGGTTGACGCGTACAACATTTCATCGGTTGAATGGGTTCATTACTTAAATCGATGCCTTCCTTATCCGCAGTTTCGAACGGATTGCAAGATAAATATTTAAAGGCGGGATATGATGCGGAAAAAAGGCACTGAAAAAAGTATAATTTGTAAATTTAAGTAAAACATTCTACTATTTCCGATTTGATGCCAGTGGCCTGGAATTAGTGGAATTAATGGAAACAAATGGATTTTGAGGTATTGAAAGAAATGTCTACTTGTTAATTTCAAATGATACATGAATAAAGGCTTATAAATAGCGTAATTCAACTTAATAATTACTACGATCAAAGTCCTATTATTTTTCTAAAGCATTGACATATTATGCTGAAATTTTCATAGATATTTAGTCTTTTCAGAATTTTATATGAATATCGTCGCACTAATTCTAAAAGGAGGCAAGTGCAGTCTCTTCTTAATTTTAAAAAGAGGTAAGTGCACTCAATGCTTAATTTTAAAAAGAGGTAAGTGCAGTCGATGTCTAATTTTATAAAGAGGTAAGTGCCTAACAAAAATCTAAAAAGAGCTAAGTGCAATTCCAAAATTATTTATTTATTAGAAATCGTACTGCAGAAGGAAATATGAATGTTTTGACCCGACAAAGATAGTGCTATCAAAATATTCTAAATTTAAAAACCACCCTCAGGGGGGTGGTCATCGACCCAATTTTAAAAACAAAAGGGCATGATATCATACCATTGGTTAGCAATATGTGATTCTACTGACAAACATGCTCATTACATGGAAAATATCAATACAATGAAGGATCTATCTTACGGCCACACTCCCTAAAGATGTAGTTTCAAAATTTCGAATGTACGGACTCAAGATTGACATTGACCTAAATGACATTTTAGTGTCACCTCTTTATTTGGCTTTATTTGGCTCTAAGAACCACACCCCCTGAGGGTGGAGTTTTTAATTTCTAAGGTGGGATATGATCGGGTATGGCAGCCCCCACCTTACTGATATACAATACATATTACATGTCATTTCGATTTAGTTTAAAATTAGGTGTGGTTGAAAACCCACACCTAATTTTATGGAAAAAAAAATGTGTAAAAATGTGGCTTTTTGCGCATATTTTGAGTTCTCCTGAAAAATTTTGAGTGCGAAAGTTGGAAATTTTTTATGTAGAAATTATCTACAAATTAATACCTACAATTTGGCATATGGGTCGACCCTAGGTCATTCACTTTTAAAAACGGGGATTTAGGGTAGGATCCTGTAGGGGGGGTCGGCTGGGTGGCGCTGCACCCCTGGTTTTCAAATTTGAATATTCAAATATTCAAATGGGATTCTGTCATAAGGGTGAGAAATTGGGTCGATGACCACACCCCCTGAGGAAGTAGTTTTCAAATTTAGAATATTCTGTCAGCCTCGCCTTATCGGGCTTAAAAAAATAATATATTGCATGTCAGGGTTTTATTTAGCTTAATTTGTGAGCTTATAACCACGCCCACTGAGAATGTGGTTTTTAAAATTCGAATATTTTGATAGCACTATCATGGTCGGGTTAAAATATTCATATTTCCTCCTGAAGTACGATTTCTAATAAATAAATAATTTTGGAACTGCACTTAGCTCTTTTTAGAATTTTTTTTGTGCACTTACCTCTTTATAAAATTAGACATCGACTGCACTTATCTCTTTTTAAAATTAAGCCTTGAGTGCACTTACCTGTTTTTAAAATTAAGAAGAGACTGCACTTACCTTACCTCTAGTGCGACGATATCGAATTTGGCATCAAAATAGCCAGCATGCCAAAGAAATTACGAATATGACGTGCAGGCTGCAATAACTTGTAAGAAAATTAATTCCATTTATGTCATTTATACTACTTTGAGTGTGGTGGAATTAATGGATTGCTTCCATAAATTCCAGGCCATTAATTCAATTCTATTACACCCTATTGATTTCAATTTCTAAATTGTATTTTCTTCCCTAAAAACAAAAATCGAAACTTACTCCTATCCTTCTTGCGTCATCATTTGCGTAGGAATCGCTCAGTTTCTGTAAAAAAAATTCGAATATAATTTATATATTTTTTTAAATTAACGAGGAGTCAACAGATTTTGAAAGATTACTTCATTCTAAAATTGCAAATATTTTCAAAATTTTACAATTAAAAAAATTTAGCAAAAATTGCAAAAAAAGTCCTAGAAATTGCTACCGGCGCCATAAAAATCGTCACAGTGGCGCGCCGACGATTATTATCAGCGTCGGCGGCGTCTTTTAAGAGTCTTAAATGTCCCCTACCACCTATCCCGAAGCTATTTACGTACTAGATAAGATCCATACCGTTATAATTCCTTCATTGATGGCAAGTGGGTGTATCGTAGTTGTAGTAGGCGGGGTGTACCCTGTAAAATATTTGGATAGAAATTAATTGTCAAAAAGCATAATTAGGATAGTTGACATCGTACTTCGATCTGAGTCCTGGTAACCAATCCAAACGTTACAATTCCAACAAGTAAAACTTCCTTGGTACGGAATGTCCCAATACTGGCGGGTTTGTCGCTTTTCAACTTTTATATAGTGGTTATTCAATAGTTTCTTAACACATGTTGTGAAGTCTGGGGTAACTTGACATTTTTTATTTCGCGCATTGTTACACTGGCATATATTGCAATACGTTGTGTTCCCATTTGTTGACATGAAATGGAGAATTTTGCCAAAGTCGCGTTTTTCACAGGGATGTGTTAATTCGTTTTGGAGTCGGGGTTCTGCAGTAGCGTGAAGGTTTTAAGGGTTAAAATTTAATTAGTATAAAGTTTAATTTTGAACTATAATTTTTTGCGTAAATAATGGTTTAAATATTTTTTAAATACCCTGATAATTTGATATATTTATTTGCTTTATCGTCCATCCCGAGGAGATGATTGAGTATAAAATTCCAATCCTAAGTAACCTCTGCATCGTTGATATTATTGAATTGTGCCTGGTACAATTCGTTGTGAGGAAGCTGCCAAAGTGATCTGTGGAAAAGAGTAAAAAATCCACTTTTTTAAACGTCACCTCTGCACGTACATACATGATTACTTTGTGGATATGCACATAGTTCTAGGGAGGTTTTAGGTCAACTCGACTCTCACTAGTGGGACGGTTCAATGACAAGATAAAATTCTTTTTTTCTTCAATAGAAACTAGTTTCTAGTCAATCAGTGAAGTTGTTGAGTTTTATGACTGTGAATTTATACGGGGTCAGTTTCCCCTGTGATTTTTGAGGAAGACGAAGAGCTTCGATGAATAAATGTTATGCAGTTGTGTATCAGGCAGTAACGTTGCTTTTTACTTTAATTGTTTCCACTTAGGATTAGTTTTTGCGAAATGCATGACATAACCAGTTATGATAAACATAAAATTTCTAACATAACACTACATTTGGTGCATGACAACTTTACGTTATTTGTTATAAGCTGCGTGGTTTGCATGAGGCACTATCCTGTTTTATGGCAGGGTGCAAATTTTAGTTTAAAATTTAACTGAAGCTTTGTGAATTAAAAAAAAAATATTTCCTGAAAATTGTAGAAATTTTTTAACCTGCGGAAAATGAAAAATTTGGTATGATAGAACAGGTGACTGGGGTCACAAAAATATTAAAATCGGGATAAAATTGGACATTTAACAATAGTTTGAATTTATCAAGGAAAAAAACTTCAAGGGGTGTTTCGGGCTTGATTTAGGCTAACCCTTTCGCAGTTATTCTACACCTGTGTTGGTTTACAAAGTATGTACCGCTAGGTGATTTTCCAAACCTATGCCCAACTCTAAGAAAAATTATTAATGAAAAATTGACTCTCTTTTTAATATATCGACCATAGACAAGATGTATGTAAATTTGCAACAAATATGACTAAAAATTTGACTAAAATTTGTACTAAATCTCTGCGTTTATAATAAGATTTCCAAATGGTTTTAGTTATGATCCCATGTAATTTATGGGGAGGTTGTTTCATAGTTTTATAATAGCTAGCAGCGTCTTACTGCGAGTAAGATTTTTAGATGAGCTCTCTACGAGATTGCATAGATATAAAGAAAAAGATCCATAATTAATGCCCTCCTAGTTATATTTTTCCTCCACCCTCCATGCCCTCTGCCCTCCGGCAAATTTCGTGCCCTCCGCCCTCCGGAGGGCAAAATTGTCTTTCGGAGGACGGAGGGATCCGACCTATGGTTGGCACGAAATTTCCCGCCATACTGATTTCTCGAACAAACCTTTAAGTGTAACTATTATTATAATTTACGTTATTTAAAAGTTGAGGAGTGCCAGATTTTTTAGAGCTTTGGATCCCTATTTTATAGCAAAAATCAGGTTTCCCCTTTTGTGCTTAGAATGTCCGGAAAATTGCTCGTGATCACGTTTTCCCTCCACCTCTGCCCAGTGTTCCGAACGATACGATATAGCAATATTTCATATCGAAATCGTATCGTATCGTATCGAATCGATTGTTTGAAAACTTTTCGATACGATACAGGGCTTCGTATCGTATCGAATCGTATCGAATCGATACGATACAGTGTCGGACAGATGTCTCCGTCCACATAGTCGCGTCAATTTCATTTTCAAATTTTCACTGAACTACTGAACCAATTTTCATCATTGATATATCAAATTCTCACAAATTTAACGTAATTTCATAGCACATTATTAGTTTTCCGCTAAAAAATTTATTTTAGGCCAGAGATGTATTTTAATTCAAAATGAAAACAATTGGATGGACAAAAGTCAACGTCCAGTCAGAGAAAACATACAAAAAAACTGTAATTTATAAGGAATGTTATAACAATTAATTTTTAATATTTGGTTGGGCCTCCGTTCGCTTTAAGGACGGATTCAAGGCGTCGAGTCATAGAGTTTACCAAATTCTTGGTCACATCTTCAGAAATGGTTTCCCAAACTTCAAGAATTCTGGATTTTAGGCCCGGAATTCCTGAAAAAGATTGTTTTCTTATTTCTCTTTCAATGTGGTCCCACAGATGCTCAATGGGATTCAAGTCTGGAGATTGGGGAGGCCATTCTAGCTTCGAAATTTTTTTTTCTTGAAGTATTCCATGGTGGACTTGGCAGAGTGTTTCGGATCGTTGTCTTGTTGGAAGACAAATCGTCGTCCAAGTCCAAGTTTTCGAACAGATTCCTGGATATTACGGTCAAGTATTCCCTGGTACTTGTATTGGTCCATAATTCCGTCAACAAATTCCATTTTTCCTGCCCCACTTGAAGCCATGCATCCCCACACCATTACCGACCCGCCGCCGTGCTTAACTGTGGGGTTGAGATTTTTTGGATTCAATGCTTCTTTTGGATATCTCCACACTCTACGACGCCCATCTGACCCAAAGACATTGAACTTTGACTCGTCAGTCCATAAAATACTGTCCCAGAATGTTTGTGGCTTGGAAATGTGGTCTCTGGCAAACTTCACTCGTTTGGTTGCATTCCTCGGTACAATAAGAGGCTTCCGGACTGCTCTGTGGGATTTCAAATTTCCCTTGTTCAGTGTTCTTTGGATGGTCCTAGGACTAACTTGTTTGTCGAACATCTCCTTGATCTCGGTAGATAGCTTTGGAGCACTAAGTGAGGGTGTAACGTTGACTTTGTTGAGCACGTGGCGTACTTCTCGGTGAGCCAAAATGGGTTTTCGACCACTTCTGACCTTGTTTTGGACTGAACCATTAGCTTTAAAGTTCTTAATGATTGTCTGGATGGTTGTCCTTGCTAATTTATACTTGGTCCCTATTTGTCTCTGCGACAGCCCCCCTTTTTGTCCACCCTTCCAGTCCTGAATGACAAGATCTCGAATAGCGATAGGAATTTCCTTGCGTGTCGACGCCATCATATTTTTCTGGAAGAAAATTATTTAAAAATTAATGCGGCATATGTTATTGATAGATTTATTAAGTTACCTGATTTTATAAATTGGATAGATTTTTGTTGTTGACAATTAAAGTGAAGTGGACGTAGACTTTTGTCCGCTCAAATTTCATCCTCTCTCGCTCTGCACTATGATTCTCAGTTTTCCCAGAATTTTCAGAAATAACTCATATGTTTTATGAAATTACGTTAAATTTGTGAGAATTAGATATATCAATGATGAAAATTGGTTCAGTAGTTCAGTGACAATTTGAAAATGAAATTGACGCGACTATGTGGACGTAGAGATCTGTCCGACACTGTATATATCGATTTTATAAGTCGAGTTTTGAAAGTTGATATATTTAGCTGAAATGAGTCTAAAAACGACTCATAAACAACAAATACATGTTTTGAAATTTCAACATTTATATACAGTTAGCAGATTTAGTATCGGGACACCCCATATTGAAAAGTTCAGCGGCCAACAGGGAATTATCCGCTTATCAAAATATTGCCGTCCTTGGTATTTTTCGTAGAGAAATTAAGTGGCCACAAGATGGTAATGTCGAATATTTTCAAAAGTGCACAGTTCTCATGAAATAAATCGTAAACCACGACAACGCCAGATTTGACGCGGATAAATTATTGGGACACTTTTACTATAATTTATAAACGTAGGTTATTTGTAATTATTTTTAGCAATTTGTATTTTTTTTAATAGATTAGATATTTGAGCGTAATTTTGGACTGTTTTTGCAGAAAAATTGCAATGGGGAAAAAAGTAAGGGAGATTGCAATTCCGATTCGCGATAAAATCATTCAACTCTGGCCAGGGGGCGGAAAAGGGGGGTTGTCAGTAAGAAAAATAGCCACAAACCTCATACTTTCCAAGACAACGGTCCACAGCGTCATACAAAAATTCAAAAAGACGGGCTCGGTGAAGAACTTGGCAGGCAGAGGTCGGGAACCAATTCTAACTCCACATGAAGAGCAAAAGGTTGTCCGCCAGGTCGAAGAAAACCCGTTCCCCGAGCGCGCCGAAACTTTCGGTTTTCGTTGAAAACGAAATTGGAAAGAAGATTGGAGCTGATGTGATCAGAAAAGTTATTAAAAAAAGTGGTTATCATGGCAGAACCCCCCGAAAGAAGCCTTTCATCAGCAAGAAGAACCAATTAAAAAGATTAGAATATGCCCGTCGTTACGTTTCAAAGCCCTTGACCTTTTGGGAATCAATTATTTGGTCAGACGAGACAAAAGTAAACCTCTTTGGGCCGGATGGACACCAAAAGGTATGGAGGAAAAATCGGGAGGCCCTAAATCCGAAGAATCTTCTTCCTACCGTCAAGCATGGAGGTGGTTCAGTTATGGTGTGGGCGTGTTTTGGTGCCAAAGGGGTGGGAAACTTGGAATTTGTGGACGGAATTATGACTGGGGATTCGTACCGACAAATATTGGACCGGGATATTCTGGACTCCGCAAGAAAAATTGGGATTGGACGCCGATTTATCTTTCAGCAAGATTCTGACCCCAAGCACACCTCAAAAATCGTGACAGAATTCTTCAAAATAAAGAAGATTAAAAAGTTCTAATGGGTTCCTCAGTCGCCAGACCTGAATCCTATTGAACATCTGTGGGATACCATCAAAAAAGAAGTTCGAAAAATCCCCATTCCCCGAAAAATCCCCGAAAAATCCCCGAAAGATCCCTGAAAAATCCCGTAAAAATTGCAATCTCCCATACTTTTTTCCCCATTGCAATTTTTCTACAAAAACAGTCCAACATTACGCTCAAATATCTAATCTATTAAAAAAAATAAAAATTGCTAAAAATAATTATAAATTACCTACGTT